CCCTCTGTATATTATTTGGCGGTGTTATTGACGAGTTTGCTTTCCGGACTCTCTCCATGCTATCGGTTAGTGTTATTAACAGTTGTATCCCACGCTTTCGTGTTGTTATTCAAATTTATATTTTGCATGTTCATGGTGTTTTTGACGGGTTTACTTCCTTACTGAAACTGAAGCTCTATAGTACTAGACAAAAAAAACTGATGGGTCCACTTTCTCCTTGTTTCTGCATTTTCTTCTTCATATGGTCTATGACTTTATTATTATTATTATTTTTTTTTTGGTATACATGAACCTTCTTTGGAGGATTTTGTGTGTGTTGTATACTGGATAGAAGATCCTCAAATTTTTTTCTTTTGTACACCTCTTTTGACATTATATAATATTGCCAATGGGTTTATATATATATGTATAATTTGTATATAAACTCTTAGTTCATTATTTAATACTCCTATAGCAGTTGACATATATTTTGGTAAGGAATTTGCATTACGACTACTGCAAATTCTGATTGGTAAGTGCTTAGATTTTTAATTATATGCTTTAAATTTTAATTTTTCACTTTATGATCAATTCAATCTTCATTTCTTAATATTTACTTATATAATTTAGAGAATAAATAAAAAAAAAATCTTTATTTTAAGATGAAACAGTCAAAATAATTAAAAAATAAACTTTTCCACCCTTAATACATGACATATTAACTTTCTTCTATTGTCTTATCAAAACAAAACTACATATTCATCTTTAAGGTTAAAATATTATAACTTCTACAAGACTCTATATCTTTCTCTTGCAATTCCATTTTAGCAAAATAATTTTAAATTTTATAAGATAAATTTTCATTTTATGAATTTTTTTCACGTACACTTATGCACGTGTCTTTAAAGCGTATGCATCATTCTATTGAAATTAACTTCTAAAGCATGTGATTGGTTTTGTTTATGGATGACAATATCATTAAATTTTGATGATAATACTGTATCTTTTATTTTTAAAGTTGCATGCCTCAATACGTGATCATTTATGCTTTTAATAGATAGTTGTTACATGCAGAGCTTGATTCTTCAAACTCATTCGTGATAATTTTTTTGCTACAGAGCTCTTTATAGGTGTGATTGCTGGATTGTCCTCAGTATTAGTCGTTATTTTGTTATTTTGGGTATATGTTCTTTGTCGGTTACTTTTGCCTTCACAAATGTTCTTTCAATTTTCTATTTCATTTGATATTCTTATATTTATTTGGACTATGATATGTCAATGCTTGTATGGCGGTCAAATGCCTATTTTCACTTTTTTTTTATTAAAAAAAATAAAAAAATATTCAAAAATTAAATAAGGTGATATGAATCCACATATAGTATAAAAAAGGACAACAATTATCTCCTAAATTCAGTTATGTCGAATGATTTGGTGGCTTAAGAAATGTGGATAGGTTTATCTAAAGCATTATTAAAAAGCTAAATAATTATGTTAGTTGCATTGAATAGGTTGCTTCAAGAGGGCATTTGACTTTCAATTAAATATGTTGGCATAATGCTTGTTCTGTTGCACCAAACGAAAGTGACACTAGTGCTAACACACACTTAATCATTTGGATGTGCTATGTTTAGATTTATCTAAAAATATATGCAATTAATGATGTTATATTATTAATATGGAGTATTTACATATCTCACACATAAATTTTCATATTTACACAAATAGCAATCAAATTTTTAATTTCATGTAAAAAGTGGCACTCCAATCACTTTTTAACATCAAAATACATAGATTTATAACATCAGAATGATATGCATGTAAACATGCAAGTTAAGATATGAGATACATAAGAATTGTGTACTATGTATTAATTTCACTATTAATTTTTTTTTGACATTTAGGCACATATCACCCCCTTAAAACATGTATTTGCATATCTAATACCTAAATTTTACTTTTTATATTCTGAGCACCCAAATATTTCATATAGTGTAAAAGAAAGGGATATTTACATATATTTAAATATTCAACACCTAAACATTGATATTTGCTTGCATTCCATTCAAATATTTTACATTACATATAAAATACACATTTTCATGCATAGGCTTACAACACCAGTGTGTTATAAATATAAATATTAAATTTTTCATGATAGATATAGAAATATAAATGCCTTTGTTGATTCAAAAAAATGAAATACAAATTTTCATACATAGATGATGTAGCATTGATGTAAAATTTAAAGCTTAGGTGTTATGTACATAAATACATACAAATGAGTGTTATTTTGTAAATCTTAATTTTTTTTTCTGTTATATGCATTAGGAGTTTAATTGCTAATTTTAAATGCAATGCAAGAAAAATATTAGCACATAACAAATTAATATCAAAGGTTTAATGTAAGTAAATTTGAAGCTCTTACTAAAGAAATTTCTTAAGGTCACTTGCAAATCATTTAAAACAAAGAATAAATAAGCTTATTTCACTTTGATGATTGATTTTTAAGCTAAGTTATAAAGTTGAATACTTGTTTATTTAGATTAATGCATAACATATTAGGAAGTTAGTCTACACCAAGTAATATGACTGAGGTAGAGAAGCTTGGAAATACTCCTTGCAACATTTGTGTTGATGGATTGGTCAAAATTTATTAGCACGTGTTCATTGCGCCACCCGTAAAATTTCAACATAACCCAGACCACACGACATTAATGTTATCCCTCATCATCAATTGTATGATGATCCAACACATGACTTAATAAATGACTTGACTCTATTTTTTAGCATTTGATCAATCAAGGAATTAATATGCTCTGAATCGGGGAGCACTTTTGCTAGGCATGAAACTTCAAGGCGATACATATCCTCCTCTCTTCGAATACTTTTTCAAATTACTGAAATGTCTTTCATCCAAGAGCCTATAAATATTTCACATGGGGGGTGATAAACAAATGCAAATTTTAGATATGAATGGGAGGAGAAGAAGCTAAACATAAACATAATTTTGAGGGCTAGGGTTTCATATTTCCAAAACATGATAAGAATAAGTTACACAATTGTTATATAAGGAAAAAAAGGGAAAACAATAAAAGACTAAACTGCTCTTAATCATAGAGCTCCGAACTTAGTCATTGACTAGAGCATCAAATGATCTTCTCGAGAATAAAATCTAGGATTGCCCTGCTAACCTCTTATTTTCACTAGTTATATGCAGAGCATGATGTTGGCACCAATGCCCATTTCTAATATACAACATATAGTATTCTTATGATCCAATATGTTATAAACACCTTAACTTTATGGATATTAAAAGCACATACTTTCAGAACAGATAGAATACTGAAATAGAAGATGAAATTAAAAGTAAATTAAATAATAAATTAAAAAGATAATAAAATTTAGGTGCTTTTTTATGTTGCTATTCTTAAAAGAAACTAAAAATAAGATTAAATGAAGCATTCATTCAGCATGGAACTAAAAATATATTGAAATGAAGAACTTCAACCAGTTTGAATAAAGTTTAGAGCTTGCAAGCCAAGCATAAAAGATAATACATATAAAAGATGCAAAGAGCAAGATTCTTCTTTGAAACTGACATAACATAAATAAATCTTAGGGTCTATTTGAAATCATTTTCTTAATTTGAAATATATTTCCTTAGTGCAATTTATATATACATTTTTTATTAATAAAAAAATATTATTTTGTTTTCTAAGAATAGTGAAAATAACTTTTAAAGCTGTTTTGAGAAAAAAATAAAAAAAAAAGAAATAAAAATAGAACTAATCTCAAATAGTCCATTAATGTAAACAAAACATGCATAGACTGCCTTAGAATCTCTAGAAAGAAGATGAAGGAATGAACAAATTCATGCAAGGTGTTGATTACATTCTGAAAAGCTTCCATTTAGAAACTCTATGAAATGTAATTTAAACTCTTTTGAGTCAGAAGTTAATGACATGAGCAAGCATAAATTATTACCATTGAATTGAATTAGTGAGGAGTTTCAAAGTGGAAATACTTATGAAAACATTCATATACACTTCGTAGAGCTTGTGGTAATACATGTTTTTAAACTCGTGAGTCAAATTCTTGTTTTAATAATTTTTTTTTTCTTTGCATAGGAGCAAAAAATCTCAATGGCTTCAACTTCGATTACTAATGTTATAGTCCGTGACCAAATTTTGTTCGGATGAATCGAAAAATTTGTGGTACGACTTAAACTACAGAAAAATAAGTTGGGAGATCTGTTGTGGTAGATTAGAGAATCCTGGAGGCCACCATTGCTCCCAATGGGGGTACATGGGGAGAAAAATTTGCGTAAGTAAGACGTACGTAGCGTTGCGTACGTCAAGAGATTACAGAGAGTATTGGGGGGTTATATTTGCGTTATATCTCCTGTAACCTCCTTGTAACCTACAAATATATGAAAACAAAAGCACGGAACTTATTTGTAGGTTACATGTAGGTTACAAAAAGATTACAGAGAAGTTACAATGGGGTATAACGTGAATATAACCCCCCAATACCCTCTGAATAACCTCCCTAACATACGCAGCGCTGCGTACGTCTTACGTACGAAAATTTTTCTCACATGGGCGACTACCACCCTAGTATGAACCCTTATTATTATTATTACTATTTCGTATATGCGTGCCTCATGTGCAAATACATACATATATATATTTTGGTATCATGCCATGAGAACCGTTAAGTACAACTTGTAAATGCTTTTCTTTTATATAGAGTGAATTCTCATCCTAATGTTTTTCTTTTTTCTTTTTTTGTCTAGTTTTTCTTTTTTTTTTTTTATGTGCTTGTAATTTGCTGCTTGATTATTATTCTATCAACTAATCATACCGAAAAAATGATTATTAATGGGTGAATATGATGATTCCCGGATTAAAGAGAAGATATTGCTATGTATCTTTAATCATGCACTATCAAATATTCAGAAGAACATCATTAGAAATGAAAGTTTTTAGATAACATCAAAATCAGAAGCCAACAGAGGAATTTATGACAAACTCTTACTAACAAATTATGAAAAGGAATAATTGCATTTGTGGTTCAAAATAATAGTCTATAAGCATCCTCAAGCTCAGATTTCGTTAGCTTCAAGAAATGTTACAGGAATTTCAGTTAGACAATCACATTGCCCTCTTTGTTTTTCACAGAGAATTCCCATGTTGCCCATTTCGTGCGAAGAGTCATCACCAGAAGTGTCGTGGCTTGAAAAAATAGCCCACAGATCAATCCTATCCATAACCCCTACATTAAAGAGCATAATTTAGGCCAATGTTATGTTGTACTTTAAATATACTACAACAACAGCAGACCCCTCTTCGTCCCAGCAAGCGGATGTCATAGTTTTTCGACAAAATTTTTATGCTGATTGTCGACTATCAAACACTATCCTCCATTTTTCGTATCTGAAAATTGGGACCCGGGTGTTATAAGAGAAAGAGAGGGGATTCTTACCTTGCCATATAATTTCATTTTGAAACCAAATAGAAAAGCCAATGGCAAGCCAATCAAGTAAAAGGCCACTAAATTGGTCCAAGCTGCTAAGTACTGCCAACCACATCCTCTTGCAACTCCTGGGCACGCCAATTATTCCAAGTAAAATTATATAAATTGTTTTAACAAAAAAAAAAAAAAACACCAAATATTAGAGTTCATTTCAAGCAATAAAATATTAAAAATAAAATAAATTCAGAAAATTTATATCTTATAATGCAAGTCCATACAGAATCCTCTTCCCAGCCAGCCCTTCCACTTTTAAAGGCTTCCTTGGAATCAATTTTGCTTTTAATTTTTAATTTTTAGTTTAAAAACATTTTTAATTAATGCATTTCTGTATGCTTTTATCTTTATCTTTTTTTTGAGTATTTTTAAAAACAACAAATACAACTCAATGTGCATCATTTCAAATAAAAACATAAACAAAATTAAAAAAAAATTAAAAAAAATAAATAAATATTAAAATTAAAAGTGATTCCAAGTAACCCCAAGTAATTCTGCATATATGCATCAACATACTATTTGTGCAAATTTATATATAATCTACAACACACAGTGAATTGTTGGAAAATTAAAGAACAAATTGGCACTAGAAAATTCTGAAGCAACTCTATAACTAAAAAACATTACCTGATAGAACTCCTTGTGCAGAATCAAACAATATAGACATGGTAAGCAGTGGTGTCAAGTAACCAAACTGCTTAATGATCTCACTATTTGTACTAAAGAAGCTCGCCCAGAGATCACGGCCTAAGTTCAATAACAGAACCACCGCTGCGGCGAGAAATATTGAAAGCTTTAAAGTCACCACCACTGCATTCTTCGCGCCCTTTATGTTTCCAGATCCAATCTCATTTGAAACCCGAGTACTGTTACGTTACATGTTATATGTTCATCAATCAGATTTGAGATAAAGTTAGTGAAGGAATGAGAAAAACGTTAAAATAATCCACTAAATCTTCGCAGAAGATCATTTTAATCTCACGTATGTCAATTTAGTTTCAAGACTCTTTTAACAAGGGTTGTACTGGTTCCAACGAAAGACTATTTCTGTCTCATTAAAGAGTCTGGGGACTACTATAGCATTTCTATAAATTATGGGATTAAAATGATCGAAAATGAATAGTCAGGGACTATTTTGACACTTTACTCATGAAGATAGTATAAATCAATTACAGATATGAAGAAGCCCACAATACCTTACAGCTGCACTAAATCCGTATGTGATCATGTAGGTGATGGACTCTGTGTTTACACTGTTGTAATAGAATTCTTAGTTTATGAACAATGTTAGTGTCTTCAAATCTATAAAATTTTACAGGAAAAAAAAAAGAGAATGCAATTAAACATGTTTTACAGTGGAAGAGGAGATCTTACCACATTGCAATGAGTGAAGTGCTTTTTTCTGAGTTTGGCATGGTTCCAGCAAGCAGCACCAGAAACTCAAAAACCCAATATTCAAAACTATATTAATGAAAATATTAGATGTTGAAGTAGTGAAGTGAAACTGATATTGGATATAACAAGAAAGGCTTGGCAGGAAATTAAAAGAAGCTAATCATGAATTGAAAACAACAACAGTAATTAGTTTTGTTACTGATTTTGCCTAGTGATTGGCCTTAACTCACTGGCTTAAGTGCTATTTAGCCATTAGAAGATCAGGCCAATGTTGGCTCAATAATCCACAACCACTAACAGTTTTTAAACTATAAATATTGAGGGGTTGTTTGGTAACAGCTTTAACTGCTTTGTTAAATTGTGTAAATCCGGATACATTAAATTCTGCTAACAACATGTTTTCGCAAATCCAGTCTTTAAGGCAAAAGAGAAATCATAGTTGTGAAAATCGGACCGGACATCGAACCGAAATAAGTAAAGTTTCAACGTTCAATAGTTCAACTGGAGTTGACCGAAGATTGAACCGAATGACGTAATAAATTGTTAAATTATTTTAATATAACTTAAATAGTAGAATAATGATATATATAAATATCATTTTTATCAATTCAATAGACAATAATTTTGAATATTTTGAACAATATTCTAAATAAAAAATTTAGAACATGTTATTTTACCTTTCTTATTTTAAATTTAAATATATTATTTCTTGTGATCAAATCCAATTAAAAGACTAAAACTGAATTATATTTGAATAGACTGGTCCTTGAAAAACCTAACTGGTACATCATATATTCGATTCAATATCGATTTTGACCAGTTCAACCCGGTTCTATGTAGAAGTGGTTTTGAGCTTGAGCCGAACTATTTGAATGACTCGTTCAAGGTAGAACTAGTCGAACGGCATGTTTGGTCCTGTTCTGTTTTTGAAACTATGGGCAAAACTGAGAAGAAAACTAAGAAAAGACCGAATTTATGGAATCCAAGATTTAAAATGCCCTTTTTGCTCTCAGGCAAAACTTAAGTTAGTTAAATCGAACTCAATTTTGTTACAGACTGCCCCTCAGAAACGAAAAAGATGACATTTTTGTTCAAGCATAGGAAAATTTAAATCAAATCTCCAAGCCTACAAACTGAAATAGCAACTAGAGTTAGATAAAACTCGTACCAAACCATTACAGCAGAAGGAATAGCCAGCTTAAGGCTTGGCATAACATGCTGAAATGCTTCCACCGAAAGCCCACCACCCCAAGTGAACTTAAACTTGCTCGAAAACTTGACATAAACGGCCAACATAAGGAACGATACCCACAGAGAAATAGAAGCAGAAAGAGAAGTTCCCATGAATCCAAAACCAGCAACTTTAGTCAGAAAGTAAGTAAGGCCTGCATGAAGGATCAGCGGAGCAGCAGAAAACAGAACCAGAGGCATCACCACTGACTGTGTTTGGCAGAATCTCAGAAGACATTGAATTAATCCGTAGGCAAAGAGGCCGGGAATCAAGTATTTCACATAGAGAGCTGCCAACTTCGCCACTTGAGGTTCTTGTTGCAGAAGAATCAGCACAGGTTCTGTGTAGTACCATAAGATGGATACAAGAACTGAAAAGATGGTGGATATTAGGGCTGATGACTGTAGGTATATTCCTAATGTGCTGTACGATCTTGCGCCAAATGCTTGGCCGCAGAGTGTCTCAAGGGCTCCACTTAGACCGACCTACAGTTAGGAAAAGAGAAGAAGTTGCAGTAAGGAAAATTTATAATTGAAAATTTTTTTGTAAGATTTGCCTAAATTTTAATTATTACGCTCGTTAAAAAATATCATTATTTATGTTCGGCTCGTCTGCTTAATGAGCCGAACACAACTTGTTCGCAAATAAAGAATCCTTTTGGCAATACTAATCACCCAGTCGAAGATGTTAAGAATTATGATGAGATTTAAATATTATTATTTATATTTAAATATTATTTAAATATTATTTAATATATTTTTATTCGATTTTTTTTTAATTAATAATTCTAATTGATTATAAAAATACTGCTCATCAAGTATATTTGCAGCACCACCCAAATTTTCCTTCTTTTTTTAAATATTTTTACTACTAATCAAAACGGATAACAAGATATGTCTCCTTCTTTTTCTAAGTAATCTGAACAAAAAATAATCTCTAAAATTAACGCGGATGAAACATATAGATTTTCCGGGGAAAACAGAGGATGGCAATAAATCAGCACAAACCATGAGGGCGATTCCTGTGACAGTGAACCAGGAGTTGCCGAGGGTGGCGCCGGCGAGCTCTATGTCGCCGAGATGGCCGGCGAACATGACGGAGACCAGAGGAATACCGTAGTAAGACATGTTGGCAAGAATCATGGGCACCGAGAAGCCAATCTGAACCTTAGCTTCTTCCACATCCAGAAACCTTGAAAGCCATCCATGGCATCTGTTGTCCTTATCTTCTTTTTCAATGTTGCCGAGCAAGGGAGAAGAAGACATTGTCTTTCTCTCCTCTTTTTCTTCCTTTGGACTGGCTGATTATGCCCTAAGCAGGATAAAAGGATATATACGAAGATTAAAAGATGTAAAGTAATTTTATATTATTTTTTCCTAGGAGATTCACACGAAGATCCAAAAACAGATTAAAACAAAAGAAAATTAGCTAAATGAGACACCAAACTTTTTCACACAAAGAGCTAATCTAGTCAAAATAATTCATTTTGTGTGTATAAAAGTACAAGTGTGTACTAATGAGATGGGTAGGGCTGTCAAAATCACTCGTTGTTCGTGAACAGCTCGTGTTCGACTAGTTAAGAAACTCGTGTTCGGCTCGTTAATTTTGTTCGATAAGTTAACGAGCCGAACACTAACTAAGATGTGTTCGTTCGTGTTCGGCTCGTTTTGGCTTGAAATACTACTCATCATATATATATTTATATAGTAAGTAGTATTTTAAAAAATCTAATTGAGTACAAGGCTACAAAGATTTATAACCAATTAAAATATTTATTAAGAAAATAGAATAAAAATTATTAAATTTTATTCAAATGATGTTTTAATATAAATAATAATTTTTAAATTTTGCTCAAACTTTTATTGGCTTATGACTACATGATTAGGGTTGTTAAAAGGACTCTTTGTTCGTGAACAGCTCGTGCTCGGCTCGTTAAGCGAATGAGCCGAACACGAACACACTTTTTGAGCTCGAAATATAAACGAACCGAACACTCGCTCGTGTTCGGCTCGTTTACACCCCTAGAGATGGGGGTGATAATTTTATACAAAAAATTATATTTCACTTTATATATTATAAAAAAAATATCAGCATTTAGAAAACTGGAGTAATTGGCCGGTTTGACTGTGAATCGGTCGGTGGTCCAGTTCGGGTTGGCTTAAACACTGTCATCGTATCGAACTGGGATGAACCAGTTTGGAACCTTAAAAAACCGGTTGCATTTGTACTACCAATTATATGTAATTTATATATACAATGCCTACTCTCTATTTTTTTTATATTTATAACACCCAAATCACTCAAATCACATAGATAACATTACTATTACAAATAAATTCATTTTCATACATGCCACCCAATGTTATTTATTTAGATATCTAACACCTAAACTCAATTTTTTTACATTTATATCACTAAAATTATCCATATCATATAAAATATCACTTTTCTTTAAAAAGTGAAATACAAGTTTTCATGCATAAATAAAAATGGCATGTTAAAATTGAAGTTTAGGTGTTAGATATTTAAATACATAGGATTTGAGTGTTATGTAAATCTTATTTATTATCATTTTTAAATATCTTTATAATTTATTCGGTTATCCGATTGAACCCTGATTCAACTCCCGTTCAACCTTTGAACCTTGAACCTCTCCTACTACCGATTCAATGTTTGACCCGATTTTCAAAATCTTAGAAAATGTAAGCATTAGACATAACAATCATATTTTAACTGTAACATTTGCAAGTAAAGGTCGAAAACGACGACAGGTGTTAATAGTTGATGTTAGTCGGCGACTGCAGAGGTTGGTAATTACTCGCTGGGTTTTCTCTTTAGAGCAAACTCTAAAATTTCACTTATTCTTCTCTTTTTCTTCTCCACTCCTCAAGTGAATTGAGAAGATTTATTTATAATCTTTTAGTGAGGGGCATTTTGATCTTTTAGCTTGTACCTTTCATAATCTCCTGATCGAATAGTCAATATTAATCCCCCTTGAAGATTGTGATTTTTTAATGACATGGGTGCCTCAATGACCTCAAAATTTAGGGGTATTGAGCTCAATGGATTTCTCTCATTTAGGCGCTCTATTTGACTATGAATATGCCAACTTTCGAGTTCATTTGAACATTCAATTGATGATCTAAAACAGTCACTCGTGTTTCAATGATTTGATCTGGGCTTGATTGGATTTGGATTGAATCAATTTTTGTATCATTAGATTTGTCTTGTTGAGACGGTTAGTTTGACTAAAAATTTGCTAAAATTGGGACTTAGAAAATCTTCAATATGAATTTGAAAGATCATTTATACAAAATCTATCGAGATTAATGCTTCATAAAAAATTATTGATGACAAATTAGTTATCTCCCTATTTTTGGGCATTGCTGCTTGTGTTGTTTGAAAATATAACTTAATATATTTTAAAAATTCATACTTTGAGGAGGCTTGAGCTGTCATGGATGCTCTAAAGAGTTTTAATCATCTTGTTGTTCTTCAATTGACAATGACAGTGGTATGATAATAGTGGTTCAAGAGTGGCAGCAACTGCCGGACCGTAGTGGTCCGACAATTGTTAGCTCACTGGTGTTGATCAAGTAGTGGTAGTCAGACGATGACAGTGGTAGGCGTCTGGATGCATATGCATGTATGCATGGGTGCATGTGTGCGTCCATATAAGAAAATGAGTGTAATTACTGCCTTTAAGCTGTTATTACCTTCAGCTTTGATATTGTTGTTACCTTCTCCTTTTTGTCTACTTTCGTCTAAGCATATTGAGACTGTTGTTGTTGTCTACCATATTGGGGCTCTTGTTACCTTCTCGTATTGAGGTTGTTGTTGCCTTCAGACTACGGCTATCTACCCATATTCAGGCTAAGGTTTCCAACCCCTATTCAGGCTAATATTGTTATTGCCTTCAAACTGTTGTTGTCTACCCATATTGCCTTCAGTTAGTTTTTAGAAAAATAAGGTTTGAAGATGATCAAAGTCTGTTTTCTTATGATGGGACTGCAATTTCCCTAGAAAATGTTGGCATTGGTCTTGATGCCATGATAATAATATAAAAAGGTATAGAAAATGAAAAACATTTCATAAGAAAATCCACTAAAATGTTTTCCATAAAATATTGTTCATGGAATATTATGGAAGCCCAAATAGATCACATTATTTAGAAATACGTACCACCGACAAAAACAACAAGCCTTTATCCCTTTAAGGGGGGTCGACTACATGAATAAATTTTCTCCATTGTGTCCTATTGTGTGTCATATTTAATTTAATTTGAATAGATTAAGATCATTTTTTATACAATAAGTCCAAGTATTTTTATGTCTACCTCTACCTTTCTTAACATTAGCCAAATCTAAAACATCTATTCTTCTAACATGATCGTCACATGGTTGACATTTGATGTGACCAAACCATGTAAGATGACTTTATCTAATTTTGTCTGCCACTGAATCTAAAACAACCTTATCATAGATGTATTCATTGTGCATTTGGTCAATACTCATCCACCTAAGCATTCTCATCTCAGGAACACTTAACTTTAGTTTGTGCTTTTGTTTTAAAGGCCAATATTATGTGCCATAGAGCATTGCTACTCTCACTATTATCTTATAAAATTTTTCTTTCAATCCAAGTGACAATTTTCTACCATACAATAGACCCAATGCATTCCTCCACTTCAACCAACCAACTTGAATTCTTCTAATAACATCCCCATCTATATCATAATAAATTTGAACAATAGACCCAATATATCTAAAACATTCACATCTTTTGATAATTAGATCCCCAATAGTTACAACTCTGCCACTAGAACTAATACTACTAAAATCAAAGTCCATGTATTCAATTTTAGATCTACTCAAATGAAGGCTTTAGGCTCCAATGTAGACATGAATTCCTCAAGTTTTTTCTTAACACTTTTCCTAGTCTTATCCACAAGAAGGATAGCATCATCAAAAAGTATACACCATGGTTCATCCTCCTGTAAATGTCCATTAAGAGTATCCATAACTAAAGAAAAAAAGATATAGGTCTAAAGTCAATCCCTAATGTAATCCAACTGAGATAAGAAAATACTCTATCAACCCTCCTTCTATTTGAACACAAGTAATAACTCTAGTATACATATCCTTAATAACTTGAATATAGGTCATATCAATATCATTCTTCTTTAGAACTCTCTAAAAAACTTCTCTTGAAATCTTATCATAAGCTTTTTCTAAATCAATAAAAATCATATGTTGATACACTTTATTCTCTCCGTACCTCCATCAAACCTCTAAAAAAATGTATAACATCCAAAATAGACATGTCCGACATAAATCTAAACTGTTTATGAAAAATTTTTGTATCATGCATATGTTCAATTACCCTCTCCCATAAGTTTGAAGTAGGCGATTTTATACATAACAACCAAAAATTTCATATTTACCTATCTCACACCCAAACTTTCACAATTGTAAACATCATTTGAAAAGTAGCATTCATTATCATCTTTTAATAGGTAAATTGCTATCTGTGTAAAAATGGAACTTTGTGTGTGAGAAAGGAAAATCCATAAAAATTAGGTGCTATGCATGTAATTGTCCTTTTAGAGTATGACACATCAACTTAATTCCTCTAGAATTTTTACACTCTTGTGCATCCCCTTTATTCTTAAACATAAGAACCATCCCCTTTATTCTTAAACATAAGAACCAAATACTCTTCCTCAACTCCTGAGAAATTTTTTTAGTTTTTTAAAATAATTTTAAACATGTTAGCAAATCAAAAACTCCCAAATCTCCTTAATATATCCACACTTCAATTGGGATATCAACAGATCCTACTGATTTTTCACTCTTGATTTCCTTTAAAGCCTTCTCAACTTCTTTTTAGAAAGAATTAACATCATTCTAATTTAAAGTATGTAATTAAATATTTCATTTCCTAATCCTTAATCCATGCTAATTTTATATTTAAAATGTTACAACTTGGTCGACCCCTTAATATAAAATAAAGCCTAATTAATAGTCATTATAATGAATTTTAAAAATTGAACTAATGAAATTATTGCTTGTATCATATCAACTCTCATCAACTTGGTGTTGATATAGATTTATAAATATTTTAGTTAAGTGTATTTGAATGGTAAAATATCTATATTTATTGACAATGACAAATATTTTAATCTACATCGTTCTTAAACTATTTATATTGTAAGCCATCATATACATGAAAATATCAGTACGATGTTTGTGAATAGGCAAAAATAAAATAAAATAAAATAGATAATATGTCCAACGATCCTAGTCATCTTGAAGTTGAATGTAAATTAAAATAATAAAAATAATATTAATTATTATTATTATTATTATTATTATTATTATTATTATTATTATTATTA